ACAATCCGCCCGCCTCGGCCTCCCAGAGTGCTAGGATTACAGGCGTGAGCCACCGCGCCCGGCCCTGCCCTCTAGTCTTGATGCTGAGGGGCCTGGGAGGGTCTGCTGGCAGGGGCCTGGATTCTCATGGCTCTGCAACTCACAGGGATCTGGGACTCATGAGTGGGGTAAGAAGGGACCAAGTCAGGCCAGTCACTGTTCTCACAGACCCAGAGATCTCAGAGAGCTTATCATGCTCAAAGGACAGGAGAGGAATGTGCACACACGCACACACTCTTATACCAGCAGCACTGCCCTCTTGACCAAAAAGAACATCTCTTCCCCTACACATGCAATTGTTACCAGTGACTGTTATTACCTCTCTTCAAATATATGTGTGTGTGTGTGTGTGTGTGTGTGTGTGTGTGTAGTTATTCTGCAAATGTACATTTTCTGTCAGATACAAAATTACATTTACAAACACAAAAACTGAAAATTATACACACAGACAGCCACCCCCACAATCCCCATACTTGGCTCTACAGGTGTGTATGGAGCCTCCACCAGACAGCCCACCTTCAGTGTTGCAATACTCAGCACAATTGTTGGCTAGTACAAAGGGAACTGTGATATTCAATCAAAAAGCCATACAAGCCAGGTAACATTAGGACTTGATAACGTTAGGTGATTTAATTAGTGAATGAATGTTAGAAATGGGTTTTCCTTGTGGAATCAGTGGAATTCAAATACGTGGATTGGCTACAACATTTTAGAGCTACTTTCCATGTATGAACAGGACATAGGATTCACCCTGTAGAATGCTGCCACAGGCTGGACATTTAAATGGTCCTGTCCCCAGCCCACGGGACACAGGGTTCTGCTTGCCTGGTGCTGTATCAACTGGATCTGCATTTGGAATAGTGTCATGCTTGACCCACGAGAACCTTGTGTGCAAAGTCAGTTTGAAGCACCTCAGGGACAGAGCACCAATGCTCCATGACACCTGCAGACAGTACTGTTTGACTGTCATTGTCCCTGCATGCCAACACATCTGTCTAAACAACCTATGCACAACAGAATTAGGTCTGAGACTGGTATTCATCTATCCTGGTAGCCAGGTAGTGGGCAAGGAAACCTGTGGCCCTCACCTAAATATGGGGTGGTTAATATTTAACAACAATAGCAAATCAGTAATGGGGTATGACCAAACTGACTTATGTCTGTTGTAACACTTAAATCTTATACATGTGCTCATAAATGCCCTCTCCAAAATCCACACCCCACCATACCCCGCTTCCCTGAGAAATCCGAGATACGAATACACATGCACATGCTCCTCCCACCCATAGACACACATGCTGACTCACTGTGGCAGAAACCCTTGCTCATGCTTATGCTCCTGTACTCAGACCCAGGGAGTCAAGAATGAGCCAAGCTGCCCCTAAAGATAATCCCACAATGTGTATTTCCATCTCCCCATCTCCCTTCCAGGGCAGCACTGAGCAGGGAACAGTCTACTTCTACCCTCCCAGAAGCTCAGCCATCCAGAAGCTGGGGAACAATTAGCCAAGGGGCAAGGAGGCAGCCACCCCTCCAGGGTACGGGCTGAGCAGGCCTTGGCACTGGCATGCTCCACTATTGGCATACGTTTGCCCAGTTTCAGAAAGGATCTGTCAGGGGTATATTTGTGCTCTGTGCATTTCTATGCTGGTGCTGGTTGCATCTGTTAAATTATAAATACCAACTTTTGTTTCAAAGTTCCAGAAACTTTAATCTCGAGGGAGGCTGTACTTCGGCACTGGGAAACAAAGGGTTAAGTATCTGTGAGAACATGTGTCACTGGGGTCAGGATGCACATAGCACTCTGTATCGTCAGACTAAGGGATGTTGGAAAGTAGCAATGCCTACATGCTGTCGTCCTGGGCTTTTCCCTCACATATGCATCGAGAGACTCCTCCCAGTTCTGGCCCAGACTCTCCTCTGAGCTGGGAGCACCTTGCTCCTCCCTGAGTAGACAACTTTATCAGGCCAGCTGGGTCCAGAGGTCCAGTGACCTCTCAAGGCAGAGCTGGCAGCTATCAAGAAGGCAAAGCAGAAGTGATGATGAACCTGGCCGGCCCAGGCCCCAACTTGCCCCTGAGGGCAGCCTAGTACCGGTTTGACATCATTCCATGGAACCAGAGGCCCTCCTGCCTCAGGGCAGTGAGCTGCTGTGATAGAAGCAGCCCTGGCAAGAGCTGGGCTCCTGTTCTCCCCGCCTCCATCTCCTCAGGGCTCTGGCCAAATCCACACGCTGCCCGCAGGGAGGGGACAGCCCCCAAGCATCCAAGGCCTCCTTTCCCTCCTCAGTTGGCCGCAGTCCCTCGCTGTCATGCCTCCAGGGTTGTGTCTGTAGCAACCGCTGGGCAGCCTGGGGCAAGAGCGTGGAGGGCAGACCCAAGACAGACTGACCAGGTGCCTCTGCCAGAGGGTGGCGGCCCTTCCCACAGGCAGACAGGAGAGAGGCACTCCCTGAGTACTGCCCCTCACGGCCAGATTCGCAAGTAGGTGCCGGTGGAGCAGACAGAGAAAAGCGGGAACACACGCTCCTGGAAGTTGACGCGGAAGGTGTAGAGGTGGCGCATGTCCTCCATGGCATAGAAGGACACAGCTCCCACTTCCAGGTCCAGGGCCACCCGCACACGCGACAGGTGCCCACAGCTGAGGGGCGTCCGCTCAGGGCTGGTCACAGCCCAGTACTGGCCACCGTTGAGCTGCAGAGCCCAGACGCCCTCCTCGGGGGTGAAGGGCGTGAGGCCCTTGCGACGCACGCTCTCGCGGGCCACGCCGAAGGCCCAGCCGTCCTTGGAGCCCACTTCCACCTCCCAGTGGTGCCGGCCAGAGGAGAAGCCGCAGGACGCCAGGACGCGGGTGTTGGTATCGAAGCGGCGGGGGTGGTTGGGCAGGTCCTGGGCCCGCTGGCCGAGGCGCACGCTCTTCAGATCAAGAGAGAGGATCAGGCGCGGGTTGGCCGTGTCGGCGTCCAAGGTGAGCTCCACTGCGGGCGGAGACAGAGGGACGGGAGTCCCCACGCAGGGCCCTGGCAGGGCCCCTCCTTGCAGGGCCACACCCGCTCCTGGAGCAGCAAACCTGCCCCCTCCCTGCGGCATCTTGTGCCAATGCCCGATCCATCCCCACTCCATGCCTCCCAGGTACTTTGTTTCCTCACTCCGTAAGCACTTATTGAAATCGAACAAATGCGACGTATGGGCCTGATTTGGATCCCAGTTCAAACAGATCGACGAATCCAATTTAACAGACAATTAAGGAAATTCAATTACTAGATGTTGGGAAAAACCATTAATCTTTCTAGGTGTGATGATGGCTTTGTGGTTACATTTTTTAAAAGTCTCTTTAGAGATAACATAATGAGACATTTATGGAAATGATATGTTATCTATGATTTGCTTTAAAATAATCCAGTGGGAAGAAGTGGGTAATGGCGTCTATGAAAAACATTGGCCATGAATTGATCATTGCTAAAGGTGTGTGATGAGTACAAAACATTCATTGTGCTCTTCTGTCTACTTTTGAGTATGTTTGAAAATGTCCATAACAAAAATTAAAAATATGTGTACTTATTGTGAGCGCTACTATGTTCCTGGCACCGTCATGGGCCCTGGGAATACCACATCAAACAAGGCAGAGCAGTGCCCCTCTCCTCTTGTAGCTTCCTTCTAGTCAGAGACAGGCAGTAAATGACGGACATAGACAATAAGAGGGGCCAGAGGAGCAGCTGCAATTTCTGGAGTGGCCAGGGAGGACCCTCACTGAGAAGGGTGCTGAGCAGAGACACAAAGGAGGTGAGGAAGCCACATGGCTGTCTGGGGGAAGCAGGTTCCAGGCCAAGAGGCAGGCAGAGCAGTGCAAAGGCCCTGAGGTGGGTATGTGTTCGGTATATTCTAGGAGCAGCAAGGAGGGTGTGTATCGGCACAGAGTGAGCCGGGGGCGGTGGGAGGAGGAGTGTGCAGTGAGGCCAGATCCCTAGGGGCCTTGAAGGCCACTGTGAGAGCTCTGGCCTTTACTGAGTGAGAGGGGCCACCATGGGGCTCTGAGCACAGGAGGGGCATGGTCTCACTCAGTTGGTTTAGGTAAACGCTGACTTGGCTTGGTCCTTGGCATCAGGAATATGTGTCCTTCCTCCTCTCCCCTCCTTTCCATTCCCCTGAGTGTTGGATCCCACAGCCTCCAGAGCTCTGCAGGAGTCAGAACAATTTTCCTTCCTGTCTTCAGCCTCCTTTGCTTCCCTGGTCCCTACATCCCCAGGAGAGGTCTCCGTCTGTCCTGGAGTGGAGACAGGGAAGAGGTTCATCCAGGTGACTGACAAGCCTTCCCCAGTCTGAGTATGTCAAGGTACAGGGCACTCTTGCTCCTGACTGACCTATAGCTTATGGGCCACCTGAGGGAGCCAGAGCTGCCCCTTCCCAGGGGGAATGGAGAAGGGTGGCAGACTGGCAGAGTCACTGAGATGGGTGGGCAGAAGGAAGCGACATCGTGTAAAACCCCGAGATGGTCACTGGCAGAGAGTGGATTCTTTGTTAGGCAAAATACTCAGTACTCACTATCACAACCACCATCCCTACCTTTCTCCTCTTTCTCCAGCTCTCCCCGAAGATCTTCTGAGGAGGAGAAACAAAGCAGGGAGTGTGAGAATGACTCAGGAGATTGTCTAGCAAGGACACCAGCTCTTCCAACGTGTACAGCCCAATGGACTCACTCATTCCCCAGATGCTCCAGAGGCTGCGAATCGGTGTGCAGACACCTGGGCCAAGCATGGCGGTAGGGGCAGGGCAGACGCCCAAGTACCCAAGTATCCTCGCTCTGGCCCGAGCTGAACTTCCCCTCCTCAGACTTCTTTCTGCCCCCAATATTCCTCTACCCTGTCTGTCCCGGTAGGAAGCTGCATGCCCTGGGGGGCCTAGGTAGATTTGCCACCAATGCCTCCCCATACCAGCCTGGCCTTGGCACACCCAGCTCTCTCCTGTTTTCTGACACGATTTCTGGAAAGACACACCCTGGGGAGCCCTGAGCTACCAGAATCTGACCACCTCCACCCACACTGCATGGCCCAGCCCAGAACCCAGACCCTTACCTTTAAACTTCTTCAGCAGCCCTTTTAAGATGAAGGTCTTAAGGGAGACATTCCAGACTTTATTCTTCATCTCAGAAGAGACTGTGGTTGGCTTGGGGCCAGGCACATTGCTGCACCTGCGGGACAGGGGCTCTGAGGAAGGCCCACCAACACCATCCTGCTCCCACTGGGCTGTGACAGTTAGGATGGTGAGATCCTCTTGGCAGAAGGAGGTAGAAAAGGGAGAGCCAGGCCTTGTATGGGAAAAGCCGTGGCCAGGCAGGCAGACATTTGCCACGGAAAGGAGCCAGGCGAGGAAGGGGGGGATCAGGAGGTGAGAGGGGATCAGGAGGTAAGTGGGCAGGTGGGGAATGAAGAGAGAGCCAGCTCCGCCCCAGGCACAATTAGGTTCACTCACCTATCCAGTGTGCTTTTGAATTCCTGGAAGAAAGGACGGAAGAAAACCGAATCAGCATTGGGTAACTTCCATTCGCCTTTGAGAAATAAACCTTGCCCTTTCGTGTAAGAGAGTAAGCAGCAAGCAAGTGTACCACGCCTCACTGCCTGCATGGGCTCCAGGCGGCAGTGGCCCCCTGAGGCGTCTGGCTGCTGGGTGTCTCTTCACGTGGACTCCTTACCACAGCTTCATTTATTACAGAATCATCACCTTGCTGGGCCTATTTCTTTTTAAAGAGCACCTTTCCTGTTTAGCAATTACAACAGTAACACATGCTGAGGATACAAACCTGGGAGATGCAGAAAAGTAGAAAGAAGAAAGAAACAAGAGACAAGTCACAACCCTTAGACACTGACTGGTCACTCAGACCAGTGTCTTTTAAATGGCTGTTCTTGCCTCATTTGTAGTTTGTGAAGTTTATCTAAGTAGATTGTGACTATTTTTTAAATGATATAAAATAGAACAGAAAACATCAAAGGGCATCAAATGTTAGTAAAGGTATTATTTCTGACTTTTGTCTCATGTATACTTGGAATATGATGTAATATACACAATTGTGGCTCACAGTCAAGGTTTTATCACATTCCTCTAGACCTCCAACCCCAGGAGAATCAGGGTCCCTTCCCTCAGTGCCCTTTCACTCCAGGTCACACGATTCTACTAAACCCCCAGGATCTGACTCTGTTCCCCAACTGCCAATCTTGATGCCTCAGGATAAATGACTCAGACTCACCTGGAGAAAATCGAGGTCAGGCTTTCCAGCTGTCTCCTGGAGCTGGCTGCAGAGCTTGGAGAGCTGGGCAATCTCACCTCCGAGCTGGGTCAGGTTCTCATTCTGCTTTTGTGTCACTTCCCGGGACAGCTCCTCCAGGCGGCCCAGCAGCCGGCCCTCCTGCTCCACCAGGAAGGCCCGCAGCGCCTGGAACTCTGCCCCTACTTTCTCCCGCTCAGCGGCCATCTGCTTCTGTCCCAGAGAAGTTGGAGAGGCAGGGGTCTTGGGCATTGAGATATAACATTTGGACAGGCACCTCTGAGTCGTCCCACAGGGCAGGGCTCCTCCCCTTCATGGACTGGGGCTCAGAGCCACCCCAACAATGTGTGCTATGCACAGGCTCTATTTCCGACATCCCAGCTCTGTGTGAGATGCAGTCTCAACACATGCTGTCCTCTGCCCTGCCACAGATGTGCCCCCGCATCTCTTTGGACCTGGGCTCTACCACCTAAACTAGGGTAACTACATACTCCCCTAGAACTACCTGGGGCTGCTGTTTCCTCCCTTATAAAGTGGAAGGGATAAATTAATAGGACCATCATAAGGATTAAACTAAGGTTGATTTTTCCTCCCCAAACACATTTATTTCATCATCCACAAACTTTCACTCTTCACTTTACTTTTCTTTGTTTTTTAATTTGAGACAGGGTCTAGCTCTGTTGCCCAGGCTAGAGTACAGTGGTATGCTCATAGCTCCCTGAGCCCTCAAACTCCTGAGCTCAAGTGATCCTCCTGCCTTAGCCTCCAGAGTAGCTAGGAATATAGGCGAGCACCACCATGCCCAGCTAATTTTTAAATTATTTGTAGAGATGGGGGTCTTGTTATGTTGCCCAGGCTGGTCCCAAACTCCTGGCCTCAAGCTATCCTCTGCCTGGGCCTCACAAAGTGCTAGGATTACAGGTCTGAGCCACCTTGCTGGGCCTATTTCTTTTTAAAGAGCACCTTTCCTGTTTAGCAATTACAACAGTAACACATGCTGAGGATACAAACCTGGTAGATGCAGAAAAGTAGAAAGAAGGAAGAAAAATCGGATGCCAGTGATCAGAGGTAGCAGCACACCCACAAATAACTAAGTGAGAATATGCTGTGAGCAAGCTTGATATTCTGTTCTTTCCATTAACATAATACACAGGATTTTTTCACTTCTGTGTTTTTAGAAACAGGCTCACACTCCTGATCTCTTGATTTTTTTTACATGAACACATGTGTGGCACTTGGCATGCTACAGAGAGCAAAGCTTCTCATGGCCAGTGACAAGGGAGAAGCTCCAGTGTCAAAGTTCCTCTTCCTTGGAAACTCCAGAGAAGAGGAAGGGATGGCGGGAAGAGGAGACTGTGGGGACTGTGAAGGGGTGTGGAAGTCAGGAGACCTGGGTTCAGGATATGGTTCCCCAAACAGCCCACAAGGCCCTTGCCTCACCTTCATCGTCAGGATATTGCTCAAGCAGCACGGCAGCACAGAGCACTTTACAGTATTAAGTCAGCCCTGACAACAACCCAGGGAGGTGGGTACCTTCCCATCCCGTCTTGCAAATGACGGAACAGAGACAGAGAGACACATCACCAAGAAGTGGTAGGCCAGGCTTCTATCCCAGAGACTCTGACACCAGAGTCTGAACTTCTCAATGCTACATCATACTGCCTCCCAAGGAAATAGCACATGTAAAACAGTATTTGCCAAAATACTCTTAATTGGGATTTCCCAACCTCAGCACTATTGACGTTTGGGGCCAGATCATTCTTTGTTGATAGAGGTTGTGCATTGTAGAATGTTTAGCAGCACCTCTGGCGTCTACCACTACATGCCAATAGCACCCCTATCCCCTATCGACAACCCAAAATACCTCTAGACATTGCCAAATGTCCCCTGGGGTAAGAGCATTTTCAAATAAAAGTATTCCTTCTCCTTTTGATCATGCAACAATAGTTGTATTCTACCTCCATTTTTTTCATTAAGTAGGTACTTTTTTTTTTTTTTGAGACAGAGTCTCACCGTGTTGCCCGGGCTAGAGTGCCGTGGCATCAGCCTAGCTCACAGCAACCTCAAACTCCTGGGCTCAAGCGATCCTCCTGCCTCAGCCTCCCGAGTAGCTGGGACTACAGGCATGCGCCACCATGCCCGGCTAGTTTTTTCTATATATTTTTAGTTGTTCAATTAATTTCTTTCTATTTTTGGTAGAGACGGGGTCTCGCTCTTGCTCAGGCTGGTTTCGAGCTCCTGAGCTCAAACGATCCGCCCGCCTCGGCCTCCCAGAGAGCTAGGATTACAGGCGTGAGCCACCGCGCCTGGCCAGTAGGTACTTTATCGTTATAAAAAATGTGTGGCCTGGAAATGAGGGTGAAGGGGTGGGTGTGGGGAGAGGGAAGAGGTGGAAGGTGCTGAGTGATGTCTCGATGTCTGGGGAGTCAGGTCAGAGACCCAGAACCTGCCTGTGCTGTGGGAAGGCCCTCTGGATCATGGATGTAAACCAATGGCTTAAGAGCTACACGCATGCTTACTCCAGCAGAAGTGGGCTGGAGGGCTGGAGGGATGAGCTCGTCTTTGTGGAGGGAAGTAAGTGATCAGATGGGAAGGTCTGGGATGCACACTGGATGCAGTTGTAACAAATGCAGTTGAGGGTTAGGAAAGGACCCTTAGACCCCAAGTGGAGAGGCACCCAGAACTCAAGGGTCCTTCCCTGCTGCCTCCTGACATTGAGGACAGGAGAGTGCTCAAGTTCCTCTTCCTCCAATTCCCAACTCCAGAACTGAATGGCCCTGCCCTAACAGGCCTTAGTAGATCCTTTCACTCTTTCAACACCTATTTATTGAGCTAGGAACTGGATTTGCAAGGTGGAAACTGACAGTTGGTGATGCCTGTTTGTCTACCTTAACCAAAATGAGCCCCATTTCACTTTCCTGTTCCACCCTAAGGAAATCAAAGTATCATCCCAATTGGAGGGGTGGAGGTGGGGAGCAGGCAGTGCCAGCGGCTTAGGGTGCTGCAGCAGGGGCTGCTGTAAACCCAAGTCCCCAAACCTCCTGCCCTCTGCCAGAGCCAGCAGCAGCTCTGATACCCCCTGAGCCCCTTCTCCCTTTGCCTCAATTTCAAAAAAGAAAAACTCTGAAACTGGAAATTTTTTTCACTATTCTTTTGGTGACGAAACATGCCTAGAGCTGACATGAGGCTCTTTATTGTATTTATGTTCCCACTGAATATGAATATTCATATGTTTCTCTGCAGAAATATTAGTGTGTTCAATCGGTGTGTTATGTATTATTAGAGTGACTGTAAGTCCTGATGCACTGGGGTAGCTTCACCGTAAGCCAGCTTTCTCCAGTAGTTATTGTAGCGCCCCCTTTCACTCTCAAAAGTTCTGGTTTGTACAATAAACTGTATGGTCGCCCTGTATAGTATGCACCCTATTATCTTCCTAAAATCTACCCTGCTGTTCCACAGCACACACTACAACACCTCAGACACAGTGGCGGTGGCGGGCCCTCTGCTGTCCCCCATGGGGCCCACCTGAGGGATGCCTGGCTCACCAGGAGCTCCCTGCTCTCCTTCTCTTCTGTGGCCCGGCACACCTCATAGTCCTCCAGTTCCTTCTTCAAGCCCCTGAGCCTGGACTCCAAGAGCTCCTGCGCATAAGGAGGGAAACATTGTGGGGAGAGAATTCTGGGAACCCCCACTCGTGCCTTCCTGGAGCCACCCAGGAGAAAGGGAAGTCCCTACTCATTGAGGAGGAGGACGGGTAGGAGTCATCTCTGGACACCGGGCCGGATATAGTCTGTGCAGGCTACACACAGATGTGCAGGGCAACAGCAGGGTGACTCCAAAGGTCCCGGGATCTTGCTTCCCCAGAGCATCTGCTGCGCAGTCCGGACTGAACCCCATCCCACCCCCATCCCCACCCCGCAGCCCAACCCGCCTTGTCCTCTCCTCAGCTCTCCTCCCCACGATCAGAAAGCCCTCTGGGTGGGAGGGTTGGAGCAGAGAAGGAAAGCAAGGCGAGCCCGGGGACTGTGCTCACTCCGCCCAGACCCTAGCAAGGAAGCAGCCTTGAGGAGGCACCCAGAGCCGGCAACCTTGGCACAGCCCAGATGGCTCCGGACGCTCTGCTTAACCCAGGAGCCCAGGAGCCCCTCGTCCCCGACCTCTTGGCGAGATTCCCACTCGGCCCCACAAGGTGGGGCTTTGAGCAGAGCCACGCCCCAGGGAAACAGGTGAGAGTGGTGGCAGCAGATGCGTGCGTGTGCCGGAGGCTTCCCGCCGAAGAGTTGCAGTAACGCAGACCAGGCTAGAGGCCGGGGATAGACAGGAAGAACATCGCCAAGCTCATGGAGGCGTCGCTCTGGTGGCCCCGTATCCGGCCCAGAGCGAAACGCACTGGGGACCATTGGGAGGCGTGACAGAGGGAGAGCTGCGCTCAGGCCGGAACCGGTGCTGGGCAGCCCGGAATAGAAAGGAGGCAGGGGCTGCACGGCCCCTAGTGCCTGTCGGTCACCTGCGCCGCCTGCGCGGGAGGGCCGGACCGGGGCCGGAGGTCTGGGGGCCGGCAGGTGCGGGGCCTACGCTCACCTTGGCCTCCTGCACCGCCTCGTCGAGCGGCAGCACTGCGTGCGCGCGGTGCTCGCGGGCGCGGTCGCACACCACGCAAATGGCGCGTCCGTCATCCTGGCAGTAGAGCTTGAGCGGTTCGCGGTGCTGAGCGCACCCGGCAGGCGCCGAGGTGGCCGCCGCCTCCGGGGACCCGAGCTCCCCCGGGACGGCCGCGGGCAGGCTGAAGCGCCGCAACAGTGTGGCCACCGCCGCCAGCTGCCTGTTGGGCCGCACCTGACTGGGGCGCGCGGGCTCGCGGCACTGCGGGCAGGGCAGCGGGCAGGGCGGCCCGCGGGGCGCGGCCGCGGCCCCGGCGCCGGGGCGCTCCCAGCAGCGCGCGATGCAGGCGCGGCAGAAGCTGTGGCCGCATTCTACAGACACCGGCTCGCGGAAGAGCTCTAAGCAGATGGAGCACGTCGCCTCGCCCTGCAGCTCTGCCGCCAGCGCCAGCGCCTCGGCCCCCGCGCCCGGGCCGGCCCGCGGCCCCACCGCCGCCATGCGCTTCCTCCGCGCACCCGGGTCGGGCGGCTCCGGGCAGCACGGGGCTCGGAGTGCGGCGCGGGGCTGGTCCGGGAGCGCCCACTGGGAGCGCAAGGGCGGCGCTGACACCCGGCCTGCGGAGACGTGAGCAGAGGGCGCGCCGGGGAAGGCAGGGTCTCGTCGCTGGCGAGCCGGGAGACACAGGGCGATTCCGGGGCGAGACGGCGCCCTGCGCCCCGGATCTGCGCTCCCCCAGGATCCCCCCCAGCCAGAGGTCTCCGTCCTGCCCCCTCCCTCAGCCTCTCTAGGTCGCCCCAGCCTGACCCAGTCAGCCGCGGGAAACGGGCCACAACAGGTGGGCGCACAAGGCCAGCTGGGTGCCACTGCTGGTTACCGACCGAGGCCGACCCAGCACCGCCTGGACAAGGGCCTGGCGAACGGGCCACGGTGTCAGGTTCCCAGAGCGCGGGTTCGTCCGGGCCCTGTGCTGAGCTAAACTTAGATCTGGAACCTACCCTTGTTCCCTCACCCCCAAGCATGGCCTTGTATCCACTTCTGTAACTACCTTTCCCGCGACTGTCCCTCCTTCTTTATTCTTT